GACATAGAGAATTTTGCAGATCTCAACATTGGAGAAGAGAGTGCTTCTCGCAGCGCTCAGCCAAACATTCCTCACAACATTCCGCTCAACATCCTCTTTTTCAACACTCAGGGCGTTGCTCGCCCTAACTTCCTCCAGCACTACATGCACATACACTCTTATGGACACTTCGATCTTGTCATCATTACAAACACAAAAAATAAAGAAAGTGAAGCCCAGTTTATGAGTAAAATCATGGGTTACTCCAACACCAAGACCATGAACCCACCTCCCAGCGACATGGAAAGAGTAACGGGCGGAATTTGGTGACTATGGAATGAAGCTAAAATCTCATGTGATGTAATAGAGATCCCATGGAATGAGGTTATCGCCCAACAAGCCCATATTTTTGTCTAGCTAGTTCGTGCCAAATGAAAATTAAAATGTATCTCTCCCTTTAATTCAAAAGAAATCAAACTTTTTTTTCTAACTGCATGAGTTATATTTTTGACATCTTTGTCATACATGTACAAACACTTTCATGAGAATATTTGTACATGGGAGCATTAATGTGGGCATCTATACTATACTTGGCACGTGGCGAGCCCTATGGACGTTACGTCAGCACCACTACACATCCACGTGGCAGACCCTTGAGGCACCACGATGAGTCGGGATTGTATGCCTAGCCTAAGCGGGGGCATGTACACCACCAAGAATGAAACAAGGCCACATGGAGCTGGCTCACTTAGAGCTCTTCATGGCCCTTCATAACTCAAGAAATGTATTCTGTACCCACTCACCCCAACTCCATAGCAACATAGCCAGACTCTTGGCTCACCTATGTTTGACTCACCTATGTTTACTTAGCTACTGAGATGAGCCTTTGGTTCACCCATGCATTCACCCTCTTGGCTGCCTAGGTCGGGAGTAGGACCTAGGCACTCCCGCTTGGGATCATTGGAGGATTGTGGATTGGAGGCTAAGACCTTGGGATCGTCAAGATCGTGTAGCTATCTCCCTGCAGTGATAGCTCCTCCTTTGACTTGGCTTAGAGAAAAAGACGCTGACCTTACACTTACATCTGATGCACATATGATACGCCTCTCAAGATATCATACCTACCCCTGCAATTCTTATGATGCAACCTTCTTGAGGACCTGAATCATAGGACACAGCTAGTAGGGCTGATATCACCCTCATGTCGAGTTGAGGAGAACTTGCCACCTATCTTAAGGTTGCTTGGGCTCCAATACTCCTGGAGTCTATATAACGGCATCATAAGTGCAGCCGCAAACACACAGCAAGAGTGACAAGAATCACACAACATACATTAAGTGTTCAAGGTCTCTCACTGCCACCTCTTCCCTCTCTAAGCTTGCCTTGGTCTTTTCCTCTTCCACTTCTGGTGATCTTAAGTCATTGAAGTGCCTACCATCTTCCCAGAGGTCAATGACCAATCGCCTCTAATCTCTATCACCCATAATGTATAACACGTAGCTGGGGCGTTGGTGAGGCCAAATGGCATCACTAAGAACCCATATGAGTCATACCGAGTAATGCAAGTGGTTTTAGGCTCATCCGCAACTGCTATCCTTATTTGGTAGTAGCCAGATCTCAAGTCAAGTTTAGTGAAGTATCGAGCTCTTCCAAGTTGATCAAACAAGTCAGCAATTAAAGGAATATGATACTTCTTTTTGATAGTTACCTTGTTAAGCGCCCAGTAGTCGATACATAGGGGAAGAGAACCATCATTCGTTTTTGGAAGAGAACCATACCTGGTTCCAACTTGATCTTGTGATCCACCTCCTTTTTAGGTGGTAGTTTCTTCTACAATTCAGGCGGCATCACTTCTTTGTATTACTCGAGTACCATTTCTATCTCCTTGGGTATTGACCCCAAAGGTACATCATTCTTCTCGTTTGTCATGGGTGCAAGGTAAGTCACCTCTCCCTTCTTGAAGCCTTTCTTTACTTGCATAGCTGAGTGAAGCGGGGTCTTCAACCCTTTTCCTGGCACTGATTGTACCACACAAGGTGTGTTCTCCTCCAAGATTGCCATGGAGCATAGGAATGGTATTGGTATTGCCTTGAGTTTGCCCAAGAAGTCCATGCCTATGACAACTTGGAAGTCATCCATAGGAGCCACCATGAGGTCGATCTTGCCATTCCATGTACCAAGGCTGATGTCTACCCCGCGGGTTACTCCAAGTAAAGGTTTGGCCTCTGAATTAACAGCCTTGAGGAATCCAGACTCTTTGTTGGCCCTTAATTCTAACCTTCTTGCCTTCTTCACAGAGACAAAGTTGTGTGTAGCTTCCGCGTCTACCATTGCACGAGTAGGCTTCTCATTAAGGCTTACCTCCACATACATCAATCCCTCATCTCCTTGGGTAGTTGTGGCATGCTTCGATTTGATGGCGTTGAGTAGTTGTAGGGAACCCATGTGGGGAGTTTCCTCTTTTTCCCGCTCTTCTATCATGGCATTGAGAACTTGTCTCTAAGGACTCTCTTGCCCAATGTACGTCGTTGGATTCACCTCATTGCCTAATTTTCATTCCACCCCTCATACGCCTTGTTCCACCTCTTTTTGTGTGTCGTTAGAACTCTCAATCTTGGCAAAAAATAAAATTTCTCTCTTTGGGCAAAATTTTGAGATTCAAACACACATGTTCAAGCACTTATATCTCCTTCGTCGTAACTCCATTTTGCCTCATTTTTGCGTCGTTGGATTCACCTCATGACCTAGTTTTCATTCCGCCCCTTATATGCCTCGTTCCACCTCTTTTTGCGTGTTGTTCGATCTCCGAAAGTTTGCCAAATATAAGATTTCTCTCTCTCTCTCTCTCTCTCTTTTCTTCGTCTATCTTATATCTCCATACTTCTTCTTTCCTCCTTCCTTTCCACAATTATTCTATCTTTCCTCTTCTTTCATGGCCCTTCCTCCATTCTTATGTTTCTTTCCATTCTTATAAGTCACATACATTCATACTTGACGACATCACCACCGTTGGAGGCTCAGTGACCACTATGAGCTTGGTGGAAGGGCCATGAAGGAGTGGGAAAAGGAAAAAAAAGTGAATAATTATGGAAAGAAAGAAGGAAGGAAGAAGCATGGAGAAAGAAGATAGAGGAGGAGAGGAAAAAAAGAAGAGAATTTTTTTTTTTGGGGCCAAATTTTGAAGCTGTGATGGCATGGAAAAAGAGGTGAAATACGGCGCATGAGAGGTGAAATGAAATCTAGGCGATGATATGAATCGAACAATGCAAAAATGAGGTGAAACGGAGTTACGATGAGAGAGATACATGTGCTTGAACATGTGAGTTTGAATATGAAAATTTTGCCCAAAGAGAGAAAAATCTTATTTTTGGCTAAATTTCAGAGCTCTGGCAGTATGTAAAACGAGGTGGAACAAGCCTTATGAGGGGTGGAATGAAAACTAGGCCATGAGGTGAATCCAACGACATAAAAATGAGGCGAAACGGAGTTACGACGAAAGAGATACAAGTGCTTGAACATGTGTGTTTGAATCTGAATTTTTTTTCCAAAGAGAGAAAAATCTTATTTTTGGCCAACTTTCGGAGTTCCAACGACACACAAAAAGATGTGAAACAAGACGTATAAGGGATGAAATAAAAACTAGGCAATGAGGTGAATCCAATGATGCAAAAAATGAAGCGAAACAGAGTTATGACGAGGGAGATACAAGTGTTTGAACATGTGTGTTTGAATCTGAGAAATTTTGCCCAGATTTTGTTAGTTCAATAAAACGGATATGGACGAAGGGTTCACATTGAAACACGGAAGAAACTCCAAGGTTTAATTTGTCAAAATTGAAATCTTGGGATTTAAATTGAAAAACACGCGAAACCCTGATTTTTTTTTTATTGTAATTTTCCTCTAAATATATATAAATATATTATGAAAATGTTCCAACATATTCTGATAAAGCTCTCATAAACGAAATGAAACTTGATCCTAACAACGGCTATAACAAATCACTTACTTCTGGTTTTTAATAGGGAGGATGTTTCTCTCATGAGTCATGACTATCAAAGTCCGAGTGTAAATGGACATCATGGTCTAGGCTTTTTCTTAGCACAAGTTAATTCAGTGTATATGAATGATTTAAACACGAGTAATGCCCACCCAATCTAGTAAATTTTACCAATTTTTCTTTTTTAACTCACATGTGACAATTAGGTTGTCCTCATCATATTATTCTGGTAGGTCTAGTTTCAAATATCAAAATTTCACTATTCCAGGTCATATCTATCAATAAGAACAATTTGTAAAATTTCTAGGAGCTTCAGACATGATTATTATAGTATGAATCGCTGCAATCCGACCCCCTATAATCTCATCTACCTGTGCTGCACCTCCAAATTCCAATAAGGTTAGATTCAACTACATCAACTTTGTTCTTTGTAAATAATCACCATCCTTGAACTAAACTAATTCAAATTGTTTTTCCTTGTAACCAAGAAGTATTAGAATTCAAAATATCCAACGAGATACAAAAGAAGCATAAAAATGAAGCAATTTAGTTGTATTTCATAGGCCATAACAGTTCTTTCCCGCACTTAGTTACTCTTCTTTTTAAGAGTGAAATATTCATTAGTTTTGGTAGAAGGGAATGGACACTTTTAGCCTCTGACTTCCACATAAAAAACACAACAACAAAGTTTTTTTTTTTTTTTTTTGAATAGTGAACAGCAAAGTATTTTTAATATGTATATTAAGAAGAAAATTCTATGATCTTATCCTATAGAATTCACAAATAAAAACACAAGATCTACCATTTTACTAGGGGAAGTTCATCCAACTTGCCTGTGTTGATGCTACATACTCTTACACGTTTGCTGCAAAATATAAAATCAAACACTAGACCAAGAAAATTTTCAAATGCCAGAAAATTTCTTAAATGGTTCCACGGCCTCAATATGTTCCAAGTTCTTAAATTATGGTTAAAAAAAGTACACTAACAATAGGAAAACAGGCATACCTAGTTGGATCCAAGGTTTCAAATCCGCAATAACCTATTTAATTATTCAGTAGTCAAGCAATCATAAGTATTAAAAATTGTTGGTGATGGTATGCATAAGACTTAAGTATTCATAATTTCCAATAAGAACTCACTAAGAAGAAATAATATCCATTAAAAATTAGAGGTATATTATTTATCCAAAAAAACAAAAAATAGAGGTATATTGAATGTGGGCTAGGAACACAGCCCACCATTGTTGATCTGAGGACAGAACCAATTTCAGTCTTCTATTTCTTCATTTTTGGGATCTTCATGCCTTCTCTCATCCCTCCACTCTTAGCTTCCCTCATCATCTCATTATAACAGTTGATTGCCATTCCAAATCCCGTGTGCTAACCACATATTCCATCGTGTAGGGATCCAAATCTGAGAAATATGTCAGCTTTTGACAGAGGGAATACAACTACAAACGGTGTGTATCAATCCAAGGAATTGTGCCGTTGGTTTTCATTTATTGAGGTTCAATCGGCGACCAACAACTTCGATGATGCTTTGCTCATTGGAAAAGGTGGATTCGGTAAGGTGTATAAAGGGTTCATCAATGGTGGAGCTACCATTGTCGCCATTAAGCGATCGAATTCAAAGTCCAAACAAGAGGCAGCAGAGTTTTGGACTCAGATCAAGACGCTTTCCAAGGTCAGGCACACACATCTTGTGACTCTGATTGGCTACTCTGATGATTGCGAGGAGATGATACTTGTTTAAGAATACATGGCCAATGGGACGCATGCCGAACATCTCTACAAGATATAAAGGAATTACACAGGTATACTCTCAATTACCTAGCGAATCCATGCCCGAATTGAACAAACCCCTATGTGCCTCTTCCAGCCCCGTCTTCACCTCAGAATTGTCTTGATGATGAGCCACTCTAGAGTCCACCAAAGTTTCAGGTTCGAATTCTTCAGAATCCACCGAAGAATAACTTTCTCTTTTTTTAGAATAAACAAAACAATCCTTTGGTGTATACTTTTTAAACCATGAGTTGAACACTCAATTAAACATCAATGAAAACCAGCAAAATATCCCCAAGTATAAACCTTAATATCCAAAAAGAAGATCTGAAGAAGTAATCCTAAAATTTGACAGAAACACGTACTTATAGAAATAAGGGACTGTGAAGCTCGCTCGAGCGAAGATTCTCTCACTCGAGCGAGGAACTAATCTCGCGTGTTTTTCCATAAGTGGCTTCGCTCGAGCCACACAACCTTTGCTCAAGCGTACATTCATCATTCTTAGGTTTTTTGCCAAACGCAGCCTTCGCTCGAGCGAGCAAGGGCGGACAGGCAACTTCGAAAACAATGGCGGACAGTTCGATCCCCGTCATAATCAGCGAAGTGGCAATCTTGAAAGAATTAACATCACAAACTTCTCTGCACGGCACAATTCGGGTTGGATTCGCATCTAACAAACTCATAGCCTCACTGAAATAAAAGTGCGAAAACAAGTACAACTGAAAGGAGTTTTGTCAAACGGGATCGCCAAGAATAAAAACCTAACAAACTTCGATGATGCTTTGGTCATTGGGAAAGGTGGATTCAGTAAGGTGAATAAAGGGTTCATCGATGGTGGAGCTACCATTGTCACCATTACGCGGTTGAATGTAGAGTCCAAACAAGGGGCATTAGAGTTTTGGACTGAGATCAAGACACTTTCCAAGGTTAGGCACACACATCTTGTGACTCTAATTGGCTACTCTGATAATTGTGAGGAGATGATACTTGTTTACAAATACATGGCCAATGGGACGATTGTCGATCATCTCTACAAAAATAGTAGGAAAGGAAATGGGAATGATATTTATCATCTTACTTAAGAGGAGAGGCTTAAGATTTGTATTGGTGCTACCCATGGATTGGACTACCTTCATACGGATACTGAGAAATGTGTCATACACAGGGACGTGAAAACCATAATCATTCTGTTGGACGAGAATTGGGTAGTTAAGATTTTAGATTTTGGGTTGTCCAAAATGGTAAACACAAACCATACACGAACCCATGTTAGTACAGATGTTAAAGGCACATTTGGTTATTTAGATCCAGCATATTTCTTCACTCGTAGACTAACCAAGAAATCAGATGTGTATGCCTTTGGTGTGGTTCTATTTGAAATGTTATATGCAAGACCACCGATGGATACAAGTGTTGAGGACGACCAAATGGGTCTCGCCCTATGGGCTCAAAAATGCATAAAAAAGGGAACCCTTGACCAGATCATTGATCCCTCTATAAGAGGACAAATATCACCAAATTGTCTAAAGGTGTCTGCAGATGTTGCTAACAAATGTTTACATAAGTATCCAAAATGAAGGCCTACAATGAGTGAAGTTGTGGTGAGCCTTAAGCATGGATTGGCATCACAAGGCAATATTTGTGTTTCTCAACAAAAGGGAATAATAAGCAATCTGTTTTTGAGTACTACACATGTAGTGGCTAAAGGTATTGATCTTGGGTGGAAGAAGTGGAAGAACAACGGTCCTAAGAATGGCGTGTCATGGCAGTTGCCGAATGATCCAATTGCAGATGTTGTCATCCAATCATACTGTCATTTCTCTCTTGTAGAGATTCAAGCAGCCACAAATAATTTTCATCAGATTCTGGGGATTGGGCTTCGTGTTGATATTGAAGCGTATAGAGGCCATATCAGCCGCGGGAATCTTGATGTGGGCAATTAAAAGATGGAAAGAAGGAACACCAAGAAAGAGGAACTTGGACCAATTTAGGGCTGAGTTCCTGGTGCACTCGTATCTTTATCACCTCCACATTGTTTCTTTAATTGGATATTGCATCGATAAGCATGAGGTGATCCTTGTGTACGAGTATATGGTCCATGGGTCTCTCTACAATCACCTTAATGAAACCAACAACTATTCACTTAACTGGGAAAAGCAACTTGAGATTTGCATTAGTGTTGCACGAGGACTGCAATACCTCCATGCAGGTACAAGGCAAACAATCATTCATCGCAACCTGAATCCTACCAATATTTTGTTGAACGAGAATTGGAATGCCAAAGTGGTGCCCAAAACTGAACCAAGTACAGGCACCATGGGATACATGGATCTAGAATACCTTAGCAATGCAAAATTTACTATAAAATCCGATGTGTACTCATTCTGCGTCATCTTACTTGAACTATGATGTGGTAGGAAGCCAATGATCTATTCAAGGGACGAGGATCAAGTGAATTTAGTTCGTTGGTTCAAAACTAATATTGACATGGGTACCATAGATCAGATCATTGATCCGTATCTTACTGACAAAATAGTGCCAGAATGCTTGAAAGAATATGTCAAGAATGCAGAAAATTGCGTGTGTGATGAGGGGATTGAGCATCCATCAATGGATGATGTGTTGGGTAACCTCCGGTATGCACTGCAACTGCAGGAGACTTGGCAGAATAGTACCAAACAAATCAGTACAGTTAAGTCCCCGGAGGCCATTCCTTGTTAGGATGGCATTGTGTTTGTTGAATTGGCCAGTGGAGTAGATATTGATGAGATGAGTTTTACGGGCATAGGGAATTCAGATTGTTTTTCGAGTAATCTGGCACGGTAGCACAACTCTGTGGTCTTTACAATGAGCAAACATAAGGCCTTTCCAACTAAAACAGCATAATGCTGGCCTTGTTAGTGGATTGCTTTACCATGTATGATGTCTGAAGCTATCCACTTGCTATGTTAAAATAAACTTCGTAACATAATGTAATCCACATGTTTTATAGACTTTTGTGTATTGTACAATATGGTGTTCCAACTGTTGAATCAGTTCTACATTCTACCACCAACTTAGCATCTTATTTCATTGATAGGAAAAAGAGATTTAGACCCACCAGATGATTTAGCTCTAGCCTCGAGGGAATTCATTTCAAGTCAAAATTGTCCGAAATACTGACTTCTTTTCCAATTCCATCATTTTCTGAGCAAATAGGGTACATAAGAAATGACTTTAATACGTGTGTTTAGAAACTCAAAAATTGAAAAAAAAAAAATTGAATCAAATTAAATTTAAAAAAATGAAACATTAGATCATCAAGAACATAATGGAGGGAGATTACCTGGTGGGAAATGGCGTATTGGAACTGGTACTAGATGTATTTGCGGAGAGTCCTTAGATCTAGCATATTTCTTGACTCACAGACTAACTAAGAAATCAGATGTGTATGCCTTTGGCGTGGTTCTATTTGAAGTGTTATGTGCGAGGCCACCGGTGGATACAAGTGTTGAGGAGGACCAAATGGGTCTAGCCCTATGGGCTCAAAAATACATCAAAAAGGGAACCCTTTGTCACATCCCCCGGGGGACCCAAGCGCGCTAAACAGTTCGGGCCCTTTTTTGATCTAGTTTCATGAGTGCAATATGAAACATAGATGAGAACCCAAATCCAGCAATTTTTATAGAAAATCCATTTATTGCAAAACCTTTGTCAAAAATAGACTACATCACCAGATCTCAGAGTCGCACCTAATATTTTGGGAAAATTAAGAAACCTGTGACTCCTGCCAAGGCCACTATTCATCGTAACCAAATATGTCTCGGCTCGAAACCTTAGGTAGGGGAAAGTCATTAATTCAGCACCCCCGCTCACCCAATCAAAAGATCGGTCTCTACTAAACCATGGTATGAGTTTTATTGACTTTATATGTTCATATTCTGATTAGTAATAATGTTAAAATTTACTACGTGAAGCAATACAAGTATAGACTATGTAATTCATTTTGGAACATTTGATTTCTTGTATTTTTTAAAGAGTTTTGAATAATGAATAACTCAACAAAAATTCAAATTACAAACATAAAAATTAATATTATTCCAAATTAAGCGACACAACCTCCATCCATCGGCATTCATAGAGTTATATCAAATAAGCAAATAACCACATGGTAGGATGCTAAACATAATGAAAAACAAAATATGTATAGGCAGGATACTAAAGCTATAAATATGTAAGATACCATATACAAAATACAGATGCAATAGTAAAAAAAATTCAAAATTTCACAATTCTAACTTCGGTTGTGTCCGGACCGGTCTGTTTAGCTAGGACCAACTTTCGTCACACTATCGGGGGCCTCACTGAAAAATTCTCCCGAAATCTGGGCCACAACACAATTGTCTGAAAATTTTAGGTCAAATTGCAATTTTCAGAACTCCAGAAATATTTTGTTGACACCATGAAATATTCCGTCCACTATGACTGACGCCGTCTGCCTACGTCAACGTGATGAAGTGAGTCATTGCATCACGCTGAAGTCATCCTCCAAAATAAAAAATAAAAAACAAGAGATGTTGCTAAGAGGGTTTGAACCCAAGATTTGAGCCCCAACGCTCAACATCTTAACCACTTAGCCAAGCCTTGCCATATGTTATTTCCCCTCAGATAATATTTAAACACTAAAACCAAAGAGTGAATTACCCAAGGCCAGACATCCAGGTGGTCGTCCGAGCAGACGACCGCCAGTCACTCTTTGCCCAGTTTCGGTCAATTTTGCTGAGACCGATAGATATGAATAAGAATTGTTTCCAAAACTTCACCTTTAAAAGAAAGGATTTTGATTAACAAACTCTTTTCCTAACATTCTCAGGATTATGGAGTATACTTTGAAATCTCAGCAAGATAATCAAGTTTAAGCTTCGTTGTAGTTTTTGGGTTTAGGTGAAATATAGAAAGATAGGTTGAAAAACTCTCTTTTTTTAAAAACACTCTTAGCAGAACTCGCCAAAAAAAGAGAAGAAATTTTTTGTGTTGAGCCTCCTCTCCTTCCCTCTTGAAAAGCAATTTTTCTCCTCTCTCTCTCAGACTTTTTTTCCTTTTCCCTTTTTTGAATGCAATCTTCCTCCTCCTCTCTCTGACTTTTTCCTCTAAATTCCCTTCCCCCTTTTATAAAACCCATGTTTTTCCTCTCACGACACCCAATAATTCCTCACAAACCACATCGCAACTCACAAGGTTTCTCACAAGCCATGTGGTCATCCCACGAAGGAATGTGGCCAAATTTTCCCAAATTGCTCTGTTTTCTAAATTTTGTCCAGAAAATGGTTTTTAATGGGTCTAAAATAATTTGACCAAAACAGGTGTAAGGTTGAGATTAAAGCTTAAATCTGATTTTTCTGCTAAGAAATTCATAACATAGCATTTTCGAATTTTCATCATCGGGTGTTTGAAAGAAAGAGCCCAAGTCTTAAAGCCGGTCAAAATGAGGTGTCTACACCCTTAACCAGATCATTGATCCCTCTACAAGAGGACAAATATCACCAAATTGTCTAAAGGTGTTTGTAGAAGTTGCTAACAAATGTTTACATAATTATCCAAAAGGAAGGCCTATAATGAGTGAAGTTATAGGGAGCCTCAAGCATGGATTGGCATCACAGGACAATATTCGTATATCTCGACAAAAGGGAATAATAAGCAATCTGTTTTTGAGTACTGCACATGTAGTGGCTAAAGGTATTGATCTTGGGTGGAGGAAGTGGAAGAACAACGGTCCTAAGAATGGTGTGTCATGGTAGTTGCGGAAGGATCCAATTTCAGATGTTGTCATCCAATTATACCGTCGTTTCTCTCTTAGAGAGATTCGAGCAGCCACAAATAATTTTCATGAGCCGCTGGCAATCAGGTTTGGTGGCGACATCAAAGTGTATAGAGGCCATATCAGCCATAGGAATCTTGATGTGGCAATTAAAATGTGGAAAAAGAAACATCAAGACAAAGGCACTTGGACCAATTTAGAGTTGAGATCCAGGTGCACTCCCATCTCCGTCACCTCCACATTGTTTCTTTAATTGGATACTACAACGACAAGCAAGAGTTGATCCTTGTGTATGAGTATTTGGTCCATGGGTCTCTCTATCATCACCTATATGTAACCAATGATTATCCGCTTAACTGGGAAAAACGACTTCAGATTTGCATTGGTATTGCACAAGGACTGCAATAAGTCCATGCAGGTACAAGGCAAACAATCATTCATCGTAACCTGAAGCCAACCAATAGTATGTTAGACGAGAATTGGAATACCAAAGTGGTGCCCAACACTATCAAGTATAAGCACTATGGGATATATGGATCCAGAATACCTTGGCAATGCAAAATTTACTATAAAATCCGATGTGTACTCATTCGGCGCCATCTTACTTGAACCTTAGTAGCAAGAATCGTTACAATAGGTAACGATTTTCTGGAAGAAACGCGATTTTGCATTCCCAAATCAGAATCATGTAAGAAACGTGATTCTTTAGAGAGAAAATCGCGATTCTTTTGGGAGAGAAACGTGATTCTAGAAGAAGAAGAAGAAGAACGATGGCATACCTTTTGAAAAAAGATGAAGTGAAACAGACCGAGAGAGAAGTCGAAGGAATGAATCAGCCCAATCTTCAAAGATAGAGAAGACGACACAGCTGAGCTGCCCCACTTATTTGCTGTATTTATCTTCTTCTTCTTTTTATTATATATTTTATTTTGACCTAGTATGGTCATGAGCTTCAGTTAAAATGTTCAATGGGCTTCATTGGGCCTATAGTTGATCTTAACTTACAGATTCAAGAAATATTGGATATTAATTATAATACAATCAAAGCACATTAAAAAAACAGGCATATTATATTATATAAAAAAAATATAAAAATAAATAAATAGGCATATTTATCTCTCTTCTTTTTTGTGTTTTCTTTTCTCCTCTCCTCTCTGATTTATAATTTGTTCTCTCTTTCTCTCTCTCAAAAGATAATTAATATATATATACATATCAATTATAATAAATATATATATGTGTCATATATTAATAAAAATAACTATTTATAAATCATATTTATTTATAATATATATATGTCAATGAAAAATAAAAATATTATATAAATAAATTAAAAATATTATCAATAAAAATAATACATAAGATAAAAAATGATAAATATATAAAACATAATGTTGTTTTATTAAATAAAATATAATAAATTTTATTCAAAGATAATGACTAGTGTTCTAAAAAATACCAATCCACTACTTTTATTCGTTATTCATTTTTAAAAAATATTTTTTATGTTGTATTTAATTAATTAAATATTACATAAAAATAAAAAAATTATAATATATATATGTTAATTCAAAAAAAAAATTTTAAATATTTATATAGATAAATTAAAAATATTTCAATAAAAATAATAAATAAGCGCTCCCAAACTAAGACTCCTTTACATGGTCACGCTTCCCCACTCTCGCTCCCGCTTTGTGCAGCTGAGACTTGAACTATTATGTGGCAGGAAGCCAATGATCTATTCAAGGGACAAGGATCAAGTGATTTTAGTTTGTGGTTCAAAACTAATATCGAAATGGGTACCGTAAATCATATCATTGATCCATATCTAACTAACAAAATAGCACCAAAATGTTTGAAAGAATATGTCAAGAATGCAGAAAATTGTGTGTGTAATGAGGAGATTGAGCGTCCATCGATGGATGATGTGTTGGGCAACCTTCGGTATGCACTACAACTGTAGGAGACTTGGCAGAATAGTAATGACCAGTTCAGTACAGGTAAGTTCCCTAAGGCCGTTCCTCGTTCAAATGGCATTGTGTTAGTTGAATTAGCCAATAAAGGGGATATCGATAAGATGAGTTTTATGAAAGGGGATTTAGATCATTTTTCGGGAAATCTAGCACGGTTGTACAACTCTGTGGTCTTTACAATGTGCAAACATAAGGCCTTTCCAACTGATGCTTCTGTAAAAGTTGGTAGTTACATGAAACAACATAATGTTGCCCCTGCTAATGGATTGCTATCCATTTGCTGTGTTAAAAAACTTTCTACCATAATGCAATCCACATATTTTATATATTTATGTGCCTTGTACAATATGTTGTTCCTCCTCTACAATTAGTTATACCTAGCAAATTCTACTACCAACTCAGCATCTTATTTCATTGACTAGACCAGATGATCTAGCTCTAGGCTCTATGGAATTCAATTCATGTCAATAGCAACGCCAAAAGACATTGTTACTCTCATGAGTATATGTTTTTGTTTTGACACAACCATGTGGATGTGGAATTAGGAGAGAGATTATTAATTCATGGAACTGAGGTGAGGACTTAATGGCTCCAGACTTGGGCACAGCTACATAATTCACTAATATGAGTCATAATGTGCTGTAGGGGCTCCAAAAACTCTACTAAAAGTTTATTTGGGTCTTCATTCCCCAGTGTTTAAATGTTTTTTTAGTATTCACAACTCAAACATACTAAACTAGAAGCATGCATGAGCAGAGAGCACAACACAAATTCTAGAGCAAAACTATTTGTAATCAATGCAAAAGTTGGAAATACAATACCTAGTATAGTAGAAGGAAAGAAGTTTCTGAATTTTCCAAAATTATTTATGCCTAAAAAAAGAGTACCATATGAATATAATGAGTTCGCCCCCTTCTTCATTTTTTCACTACGCCGAAACTAGTTTTTGAAATTTTTCAGAAGGCAAAGCCATCAAATGTATATGAACCATTGAATAATCTCAATTCTATCATTGTTCATCATAAATTCATGCAAGAAAACAGAAAGGTCATCATTTACCTTCCTGGTCTTCAAGAATTCAAAAAGTGCATTTTGAAGCTTATTATCCAAATCCTTGAAAGCAACCACATAAAAAAACCAAACACGGTCATGAACAAACCACAAGATTGCAGACTAACACACATTTATGCTTGGTTAGGAAGAAATCATGAGAAAACGAAGTAAACCAGGACTCTCTCTTATGAAACTGGCCCAATCAGTAAATCAGAAGAAGATCAAAAGTATTCATACGATGTCCTAAAATCTATAAATTTTAGTATTCAGAGGCTAGCTTCCTCATTGCCCTCAACCAGCCCCAAATTGGTTTCTCAAATTAATTTGAAGTAGAATTGGGTTGGAAAGAAAAATATATATGCATATTTGTTGAAAGCTTTATATTGAGAAGAACAAGAAGAAAATTCAATGAGACGCTAAAATATTTTAACAAGAAATAAATAATCAATTCAGCTAGTCATTAGCCAAAAACTCTATAATTCAAACTAAAAGATTCACAGAAAAAGAGAGAGAGATATTAACAACTCATTGAAAAACTAAAACATTTACATATGTTATTGTGATAATAATGCTAGATCATGTGAAATGAGGTCACATGAGGTCCCACGTAAAGCCTCGATTTTTATAGTTTTGTTTGCTCCAAATTTGCCTCTTAATGTAATCAACTGTTTGCAAGGTTGATCTTCCTCATTGACTGCATTGAATTCCGTAGTGGGCTAGAGAATTTTAACACAGAATGTAATACATTAATACACAAAGAATTAGATTTTAATTGAAGTGATTGATTAGGGATTTCAAGGACTAAAGAATAATTGATAATGTTCTGTTTGGTTGTTGAGAAAATGAGACAGACAAGAACAAAAAAAGAAGTAAACAATTGATATCCCACTTCAGAGGCATTAAAATGTAGGAATAGATAAGGGAATCAAAATTGAGAACAAAAGAAGCTCTGTTTGGCTTCTAGGAAAATGTCGAAAAAGAAAAGACATAGGAATGTGGAACCAATATTTGTCATTTACCTAAGATCGAAGAAAACTATAACCTCCAGTTGATTGAACCTAGTGAAAATTCAAGAAGACTAAAACTCCAAGTAATTGAACCTAGTGAAGACTATTTTGGGTAGATGGAGATGAGTTTTTCGTTTATTAGTACATAAAAACGTTCAAATTTCCTTTTCGTTTCTTCAATTTCTCCTTTAATTTGGTTTTTTACTCAACTGGGTTGGCTAATTCTTATTTCAATAAATCAAAATTCTCAGAAATACTTCACTTCTTTTCCAATTCCCTCATTTTCTGAGCGAATAGAGTACAAAAGAATCGACATTAATACGTGTATTTAGAAACTCAAAAACTAAATTAATATTAAAATAAATAAAGATCCTCAAGAACATCATGGAGGAGGGAGATTACCTAGTGGGAAGTCGCGTATTGGGAGAAGCCTAAGGATGTTTGATTGGGGATTCTCAGTGGATAGATCCGGCTTTGGACGAGAAAATTGGGTATGGGTCTGTTTGGATGGCGAGAAAATTGTCGTTATTGGGACGTAGTGTGTTTGGTTTCAGTTTTGTGAGTTCAGGTTTTTAGAAATTGAGTTTTTTTTTTTTGTATTTTTTATTTTTAGTGAATATTTTAAAAAATTTAAGTAATTTTTTTTTTTAGATGTACCTTACTTAGATATATCTAAATAGTAAAATATTTGTGAAAAATATTTTCAAAAAATAATAAATACACAAAAATATGAAAAATATACTAAGTTTTCATATATATATTTAATATTTTTGGTATTTAATAAAATTTTTAAAGATTTTTTTTATAAATATTATAATTTTTAAGTGTATTTATGTTGCGTGTGTTTAAAAATTAAAAAAAAATACTTAAAATATTAAAACAAATCCAGTAAAAACAAAAAAAATATGAAAAAGAAAAAAATAAAATTTTTTTGAAGAGTGTTTTATAAAACCAAAACCAAGCAAAGTGAATCATTTGGATTTGCGTGAGAGAAGTGTTGGCCGAAAAGACTTGCACAGTGGCATTCGCGCATTTTTTTTTTCCTTTTTACTGATTTTCGTCTATAATGAATAGGGGGATGCACCAATAAATCCCAAATTAATAACTTCTGTACTGTTTAGTCTTAAAAGTTTTCTTATAAACTGAAAGGTCCCATTACAATGTTAATAACATCAGATACAATGTTAATAACATCAGAGTCATGTTACAAACATTGGATTTCAAACATCTAATGTTCATCAAATTTCAATAATGTTTGAAAATATAGGATGAAAAACATCTAATGTTCATCAGATTTCAATAAATTTTGAAATTATAGAATGAAACATCAGATCATTTACATCATTCACATCATGTTGATGTAAAAATGGGACTAAATGGAGCATAAGAAAACTTTTAGGACTAAATGGTTCAACGTTTCAAAAACTAGGACTTATGGGTAAATTTTCCTCTTTTTTTTTAAATTCAAAATAGTGGACAAATTTTTTTAAAAAAATTAAAAATTCCAAAAAAAAGAAGAAGAAAAAGAAAAGGCAAAAAATAAGTAAAAAATAGTGGACTTTTATTTTATTTTTTATACTTATTTTGGTATCACATTTTTTAAAGTTTTTAATTTTGTTTTACTTTTGATTCATTTACACAAAATTGAAAGAAATATAAAATAAAATAAAATAAGTTGACATAATTTTTTTTTTTTAAATCCACTAAAAGCAAAAACAAGTGGAAAAAAGAAGTGACTATAAGTAGGGGTGATAAACGAACTAAATGATCCGAACAATCAATTGTTCAAACTTGATTTGATAATTTTAACGAGTTTCAAAGTTTATTCAAATTTAGCTTGTTAAATTTTCGAGCAGATTTCAAACGAAATTTTATCGAGCTGAACTCGAGTAATTTATTATTTTATATAATTTTAAGCTTATTAAACCGAGTCAAACGAACAATTATCTGTTCAAACTTGATTTAAAAATCTTAATAATTTCTAAAATATGTTCACATTTAACTTATTTATTTAATAAATCAACTCAAACGAGCTTTTAAGAATATGAGTGGAAGGCCGTTTATAACGCCGAACTATAAGCTGGGCCATTTCCATAAATAAGCTAAAATAGTAAATCAATTTCCAAACTAAGCCTAGTTTTCAAAGAATTCCCAAAATAAGCTAACTCGCGGTTCATAATCGCGATTTTAACATATTTTCGCCTGTCCCGCGTGAAAGTTGGGAAATCTTAAATTCGTGGTTACTGTAACGCCCTCAGATTAATAAATCGTGGTTATAAAACGCGATTTTAATTAACTTTTCTTTCCTTTGAACTCGTTGTTACAAACCACGAGTTCATCGAAAAAAATTATGTTCTGAATTCGCTATTCGCAACCCCGCTTTTGTTGAAAAAAATTTTTGTTCTGGTAAACAAAATAATAACCAACTACCAACATCCACGGACACATGTCCGGATCACTATACAACAAGGGTAAACCCGGGATCGCTATAGTTACAAAAAGCGTTTTCGATTAATAAATCGTGGTTACAAAACGCGATTTTAATTAAATTTTCTTTCCTTTGAACTCGCTGTTACAAACCATGAGTTCATCGAAAGAAAATTATGTTCTGAATTCGCTGTTCGTAACCCCGCTTTTGTGAAAAAAAAATTTGTTCTGAACTCGCTATTTGTAACCACGATTTTATTTGAACTCGCTTTTCCAAACCACGATTTTAGCAAAAATTTTTTGTTCTGAACTCACTTTTTCTAACCACAAGTTTTGGGCAAATTTTTTTCCATTAAGTGAACTCGTGGTTCACAACCACAATTTTAAAACTTGTATATAATCTCCCCCAGCCCCGTGTTTTGCATTCACCTTACTCCTCCTCTGTCGAAGCTCCCTCTGCTGTCTCTCTCTCGCTCTTACTCCTCTCTCTGTCACTGTGCTCCCTGCTCTGTCTCTCTGTCGAGCTGCCCCTGCTTCAGTACCGTCTCTCTCTCGTTGGTATGGCTTCTATCATCTACTTTACATATTTGTGAATATATTTGTGAATATATTCATACAAAATCAGTCGAGTTATTTGAACTCAATGAAAAAAATAATAATTTCATAGAAAAAAGTTACACTATGATTTAAGATTTTTGTATGACTTGTTACAAAATTATATGAACAGAAAAAATAAATGAAGAATCTTCGTTATGTCTTCATATTCAAAATTATTGATATATCTATCTAGGTTACAAATCACGTTTTTAAGGAAATTTTATTTATACATAAATTTTGAAGTAATTATTTTTTTAAAGTAAATCTGATTAAGGAAATTTGATTTATACATAACCATGCTTTTGTTAAGTAATTCTTTCTATCTTCAGAAAACGTGGTTGCAAACCACGGTTTTACTGTTGACCCGTGGATAATAATCACTTCTAAGCAAAATGTAAAAATTCAACAAAGAATTCAAAATCAGCACTCATTCTTGTTTGTCACAGACACTCACAAACACTCTCTCTATCCCTCTCTCTGACACACACACCCACAACACTCACATCAAACATATAGGCTTTTTAATATATATAAATTTTATTTTGTAAAATTCATACCAATATTTTATTATTATATATATATATATATAATAATAATTGACACAACCATGTGGATGTGGAATTAGGAGAAGAGATTATTAATTCATGGAACTGAGGTGAGGACTTAATGGCTCCAGACTTGGGCACAGCTACATAATTCACTAATATGAGTCATAATGTGCTGTAGGGGCTCCAAAAACTCTACTAAAAGTTTTATTTGGGTCTTCATTCCCAGTGTTTAAATGTTTTTTTAGTATTCACAACTCAAACATACTAAACTAGAAGCATGCATGAGCAGAGAGCACAACACAAATTCTAGAAGCAAAACTATTTGTTAATCAATGCAAAGTTGGAAATACAATACCTAGTATAGTAGAAGGAAAGAAGTTTCTGAATTTTCCAAAAAATTTTATGCCTAAAAAAAGAGTACCATATGAATATAATGAGTTCGCCCCCCCCCCCGCCGAAACTAGTTTTTGAAATTTTTTCAGAAGGCAAAGCCATCAAATGTATATGAACCATTGAATAATCTTCAATTCTATCATTGTTCATCATAAATTCATGCAAGAAAACAGAAAGGTCATCATTTACCTTCCTGGTCTTCAAGAATTCAAAAAGTGCATTTTGAAGCTTATTATCCAAATCCTTGAAAGCAACCACATAAAAAACCAAACACGGTCATGAACAACCACAAAGATTGCAGACTAACACACATTTATGCTTGGTTAGGAAGAAATCATGAGAAAACGAAGTAAACCAGGACTCTCTCTTATGAAACTGGCCCAATCAGTAAATCAGAAGAAGATCAAAAGTATTCATACGATGTCCTAAAATCTATAAATTTTAGTATTCAGAGGGCTAGCTTCCTCATTGCCCTCAACCAGCCCCAAATTGGTTTCTCAAATTAATTTGAAGTAGAATTGGGTTGGAAGAAAAATATGTATGCATATTTGTTGAAAGCTTTATATTGAGAAGAACAAGAAGAAAATTCAATGAGACGCTAAAATATTTTAACAAGAAATAAATAATCAATTCAGCTAGTCATTTAGCCAAAAACTCTATAATTCAAACTAAAAGATTCACAGAAAAAGAGAGAGAGATATTAACAACTCATTGAAAAACTAAAACATTTACATATGTTATTGTGATAATAATGCTAGATCATGTGAAATGAGGTCACATGAGGTCCCACGTAAAGCCTCGATTTTTATAGTTTTGTTTGCTCCAAATTTGCCTCTTAATGTAATCAACTGTTTGCAAGGTTGATCTTCCTCATTGACTGCATTGAATCCGTAGTGGGCTAGAGAATTTAACACAGAATGTAATACATTAATACACAAAGAATTAGATTTTTAATTGAAGTGATTGATTAGGGATTTCAAGGACTAAGAATAATTGATAATGTTCTGTTTGGTTGTTGAGAAAATGAGACAGACAAGAACAAAAAAAGAAGTAAACAATTGATATCCCACTTCAGAGGCATTAAAATGTAGGAATAGATAAGGGAATCAAAATTGAGAACAAAAGAAGCTCTGTTTGGCTTCTAGGAAAATGTCGAAAAAGAAAAGACATAGGAATGTGGAACCAATATTTGTCATTTACCTAAGATCGAAGAAAACTATAACCTCCAGTTGATTGAACCTAGTGAAAATTCAAGAAGACTAAAACTCCAAGTAATTGAACCTAGTGAAGACTATTTTGGGTAGATGGAGATGAGTTTTTCGTTTATTAGTACATAAAAACGTTCAAATTTCCTTTTCGTTTCTTCAATTTCTCCTTTAATTTGGTTTTTTACTCAACTGGGTTGGCTAATTCTTATTTCAATAAATCAAAATTCTCAGAAATACTTCACTTCTTTTCCAATTCCCTCATTTTCTGAGCGAATAGAGTACAAAGAATCGACATTAATACGTGTATTTAGAAACTCAAAAACTAAATTAATATTAAAATAAATAAA